AGGAAATTGATAAGAATTGATAAGATCTTTTGAAATCTTATGATTTCTTATTATACGATCACCCAAGATCGTATATGATCTTGTAAGATCTTCCAAGGTCTTGTTATCTAATCCTTGGACCTGGGTAGTGAAGCTCCTCAGAAAACGCATTGGTAACATTGACGCATGGTATAAAAATGATTGCAGTATAATATTAAAAGGATATTTCTTTCTGCTATAGTGAGTGACATCGATGCAGTGCAGTGCGCTCAACTGAAATTCAATGGATAAAATTTTTAACATTCAGACGGAAATGATTAAAGATTTTATTTGCAGCCAGCAGAGAAGTGTTTCGACGGGTTTCGCTTACCTCGACAAGCAGAAAAAATTGACCGTTTAATGGAAAAATTTGCTGCTCGTTATTGTGAATGTAAGTCGAAGTACGATCATCATTCTAATTTCAATTTTATATCTTGATAGAAGTAGAATAAAGAAGAATAGTTTTTTCTGCTTTATTGGCTTTATTAATCATTCTTCAATTCATATTTACTGCAGCTAATTATTATTTACCAATAAAGAAAAGTAAAGAGCGCTGCAAACTACTGAATCTGCACTGTCAAAAACAGCTGAAAAAACTTGATTAAAACGAATGATTAATAAAGCCAATAAAGCAGAAAAAACTATTTTATCGTCGTCGTATTGACATACACTTTAACATTGGTGAATACTGAACGAAACGGAAGCAAATTGAAAACAAACAAAAGTTCGTTGTGTTTTTGAAAACGCATTACATTACACGTTTGTTTTGTCTCATAAAACAGTATTCAATAGTTTTACATTGCTAAATCGATAAGGTGGTTCTCTAAGTATGAGTGTGAATTATGAAGCGGTTAGCCAAAGAGAAGAATTATTTAAAAAAGGTTGTGATATGTAAGTTTTTACGGTAACTATCATGGATTGATCGATCTATTTAAAACAAATTACTACTTTTCTCATTTAAGATTCAATCAAGATCCAAAAAAAGGTTTACAGTTTTTGATTGATAATAATTTGGTTCATCAAGAAGCTGAAGACGTAGCACAATTTTTTCATTCCTATCAAGATGTTTTAGATAAAACAGTTATTGGCGATTTTTTAGCAGAAAATACTAAGTATGATGCTTTGTGAGAAGAGATCAATTTTATTAAATATACTATTTGTTTGTACATTTAGATATCATAAAGAAGTTATGAATGTCTATTTTGATCAATTGGATTTTAACAAAATGGACTTTTTAGCAGCATTTAGAAAATTTTTAGCCGGATGTCATTTACCTCGAGAAGCAACAAAAATTGATCGTTTAATGGAAAAATTTGCTGCTCGTTATTGTGAATGTAATTCGAAGTACGATCTTCATTCTAATTTTATATCTTGATAGAAATGGAATAAAGAAATATACTTTTTATATATTTAGTCTGGGAATATTTGCTAGTGATGATGCGGCCTATGTACTTGCCTATTCAGTTATCATGTTAACAACCGATTTACATTCAAAAGATATATATTCTTAGCTATACAAATATTTCCTTATATAAATTATTCTTTGGATAATTTTAGGTAAAGAAAAAAAGGACCAAAGAAGATTTTATTAAAATGAATCGTGGCATTAATGACGGTCGAGATTTACCTGAAGAATTTTTGTCAAAAATATATGATGAAATAGAAAATGAAGAAATAAAATTGTAAACAACAATATAATACAAACAAATTTGAAAAGCATAGAGACAGTAGATCTAAGGTTAAGTCTTTGGATTTAAGTTTTAACGTATTACAAAGAAACTTAAGTCGCCCGATAACTTAAGCTCCGACTTAACTTTAAGCCTAGGGAGAGGTAGACTTAAATCGGGCTGCTTATAAAGTTCTTTTACAATTAAAAGTATAAATAAATAAAATTTAATAAAATATAGAAATAATAATATTTTTGCTAAAATGGCATTAATTTACTTGTATCAACACCGAGCTTTATGAAATGAAAGAAGGTTTTATCCAGGGTTTTCATTTTTTTCCCAAAATTTTCATTCCCATAAACGGTTGTGACTTTTTTCGCCACGGCACCGTTGATTTTTAACGGTCATGATGACACAAACATATACGTGTACAGTTCCTTTAGCATACATATGGAAAACAGGAGATCACATTACAAAAAACTTAAGTCCTGATTTAAGTCAAACCTTGGCTTAAGTCTCCATTTGACTTAAGAGGCCGAACCTGAAAAAATACTTTTTTTATGTTACATCCGATTTCGATGCCCTCAAAAGTTTGGAATAAAAAGTGGGAGAAAGCAGTTTTTCATTTAAATTTTGTTATAAATCGTTGCTCCTAAATTCGTCTAGTATCATCATCAAATTTCTGAACATTGATTTCGAAAAACCCTTTGCTTCTTTGACTTTGGCGAGCAGTTCTTTCAGTTTTTTGTTAAACAATTTAGCAATGGGAAAAAATCTTTATTATTAAATCATAGATTAATAACGTTCAATAAAGTATAACAGGGTTCATCTTTCACTCGACTGACAAAAAATGAACAAGTTCCTGTAGAATCGGCCAAACAAAACATGATGTAAGATTAAGATAATTTACTAACTTCTGTTGTTTAGCAATATAAGAATCTAAAGTGAATAACAAGAATTATGCATGGTATAGGACATGTTCTGGATATATTGAATTCAGCATCATTTTTGTCACTACCCTGTTGAATATACTTGCAACAGGTTACTTATGGAATTATGTGAGTGTTTGGCCACTTGGTGAGTAATTTTGTAAAATGCTAAACTTACTTGATTTACTTGTTGGACCTCTTCCAGCTACACAAGTGTTACCTGAGCAAGTACTTTACCTCAACTATGTTTTGAAAGAAAAATTACAGAAAGTCAATCATAAGCGCGTAATAATGAAGGCTGCATAAGACCAGTTCATATTCCTTCGAAATAAATAAATCGGGCTACGGATGGCGGCACTCAACTACCGGCTAGCGTTTCTTTAGGCGATAAAAAGGCCTTTTCGGATAATGAAAAAACGGATCTATTTAACGAATATTTTGCGAAATGTTTTGTACCAAGAGCAGGACCAACTTTGAAACCAAGGATTCGAATTGATGATATTTTTACATTAGTTCCACCGTCTAAAGATCAGATTTTAAAAGCAATAAGCAACCTCAAAAATGATATAGCAGCCGATCCCGACGGCATGACAGTTTCTTTTCTTAAGGAATGTTCTTTTCAGCTTCTCAATCCTATCCATTATATATTTTCTCTTTCTATATTCAATGGCATTCATCCATTTCTGTGGAATACAGCTAATGTTATTCCAATTCACAAAAAGGGTCCAAACGCATTAGTTGAGAAGTACCGCCCTGTATCCTTGTTGTCTATAATTGGCAAAATTCTCGAACGCTTCATATACGATCAGCTTCTCGTATTTGAACAAACACAAATTTTTTTCTAAATATCAGTTCGGATTTCGCAAAAATAGTTCCGTGATCGACGCTCTTCTTTACTTGACACAAAACATCTTCAAAAATCTGGATACAGGAAACGATTCCATTTTGAAAAAGCTTTCGACAGGGTGCCTCGTCAGGTACTGCTCTCGAAATTAATAACCGAGTGCCAGACTTTCATCGATAAAATTGAGGAATGGCGCCAACTGAATCTCATGTCCCTTAACTACTCTAAATGCGCGTGGATTTACTTCACAAATCGTAACCAATCTGCAGCGGAGCATCAGAGCTTTTCGATCAATAACTCGATCATAAAACGGGAAAAATCAGTAGCACTTCTGGGAGTAAAATTAACGTCTAGCCTGTCGTGGGGTGAGTACGTTAGAGACGTAATCCTCGGACGTAGAAGATTAGGTGCAATGTTTAGAACGTTCCAGGAGTCTCCGATACAGATCCGTTTAGCCATTTTTAAAGCATGTATTTTGAGTAGGCTAGATTACGCTAGTGTAGTTTACGATAGTAAATGGTATAAAGAAGATTTAGATAAAATTACTAAATTAGCTGCTCGTATGATCTCTAAAAAGTTTGACAACCTCTTTGAGTTCGGTAACCTCTTTGATCACCAAACTAAAATTGCCAGATTTATCTACCCAGGACGGTGATTACGACAACCGTATACTACAGTTTACGATGAATGATACTGCAGTTTACGATGAATGATACTGCAGTTTACGATGATGGATATTGTAGTATACGTCAAAATACGACATTGTTTACGACGAAATACGATGACGTCCACCGTGGAGAAGGATTACGACGTCATATTTTGTCTGGAATGGATGCGACCGTTTACGATGGGATACGTCAAAATACGACGTCATATACGCAGGACGTCGAAAACGGTGTAATTAATTGCCAATTAAATGCCATTTAATACGCTGTTAATAAGCATTTAAATGGCATTTTTATGACATTTGACCCCGTTTTTAGGCCATTTTTTGCCATTATAACTGGGAACGTTTAAATGCATTTATTTCGCATTTTTTTAAATGTCAAAAAACGGTCAAATAACAGGCATTTAACTGCTGCCAGTAACCCTACTGGTCACATTTTTTTGCCATTTAAATATCAATTGTTAGGAAATGTCAAAAGAATATCTTCTGAAGCTGAGGTACTATCACCTGCATCGAGTCAAGAACCATAGACCACTTCTTCGAGGCAAGTTTCTATAACTCATATAATTGAAGAAGAGAAACACTTTAAATTATTTTAGGAAAATCAGAGTCAGTTATACTATTCATGACGGCAGAATAAAACGGTGAATGACCTGGTGACCATAAATTGTCTGTTAAATGCCATTTTATGACCAGTTTTTTGCCATTTTGGAATGGAGAAAAAACGGACATTTATTTGGCACTAGTTAACGCGGTCTAATAAATGGACGAAAATGCCATTTAACGGTGTCCGTAAAATGACAATTTTTCAGACATTGCCTATAATCTGGCATTATTTTCACCGTTATTTCAAAGTCAATTGTAATGGCTGTTAAATGCCAATTTTCATTCGAGTTTTACACAATTAACAGGCTATTTTTTGGCATACAGTTAACAGGCTGTTAATGGACAATTCAATGCCAGTTTTCGTCGACCTGAGTACGGTCGTTTTTCGTCGTATACTGCTAATTTAAATTGCTAATCCAGTCACACTTTTGTTATCTACGATTGATTCCACTATGTTTTACTCGGACTTTTCTTCGAGAACATAGTGCAATCAAATTTTAATGCATTCGTCGAACAGGCAATGCTTTTGTCTATTTTATAATCTCTATCTGAAAAGGCAAAATCAGTATGAATTAGAGAGTAAGGTAGTATTGCTGTTTTGAGAACGTTAACGCTCCATTTTTGTGTGACCGTTAACTGGACGGTAACGAGCCGTTTTTTTGGACCTGGGTAGTTGATCAAAAGAACAATTTGATGCCATTTTGATCACATAACGAATACTAGTTCATATCGAAAAACTTATAAGAATACATTTTGCGATGGAATT